TTTACTGTGGGTTTATTTTCACTGGTGAAAATTATTTTGGTTTAAGAACTTTTCCATCTACAGAAGTACCTTTAACATATCCAGTAATGCAGGTTTAGTGATGATAAATTCCCCTTTGTTTATCTGGGAAGTATTTAATCTCTCAATTTTGAATGATAATCTTACTGGGTAGATCATTCTTGGTTGAAGGTCCTTCTGTTTCAGTACATTAAATATTTCATGCCACTTCCTCTGGCCTGTAAAGTTTCTGTTGAGAAGTCTGCTGATAGCCTGATGGGGTTTCCCCGATAAGTAATCTTTTTTCTCTTTCTGGCTGTTTTCAATACCCTTTCCTTAATCTTAATTTTTGTCATTTTTATCATATGTCTTGGCATTGTCTTCCTGGGGTTCCTTTTGTTAGGGGCTGTCTGTGCTTCCAGGACCTGGGTGTCTATTTCCTTCTCCAAATTGGAGAAGGTATCAGCAATTATTTCTTCAAAGAGACTTTCTACCCATTTGTCTTTTGCTTCTCCTTCTGGTCCTGCTGTTATACAACTATTGTTTTATTTGGAGGTGTAACACAGTTCTCAGCATCTTTTCATTTCTAGTTACTCTTTTTTCTCTCTGTTCCTCATCTCCATTGTTTTCCTGTTATCTAATTTCTATGTAATTGACTGTCTCCTCTGCTTGCAGCAATCTATTATTCATTCTGTCTATTCTGTATTTCATTTCAATTACTGTATTCTTCAGTTCTGAGTGGCTCTTTTTCACCTCTTCTGTCTCTTTGTTGAAGTCCTCCCTGAGATTGTCAGTACTTTCCACAGATTAGTGAGCATATTTATGATTGTTACTTTACAATCTTTATCAAGAATATTGGTGATATCCATGTCATTTAGCTATCTTTCTGGTGTCTTATCCTATGGTTTTATTTGTAACATATTCCTCTCTCTCCTCATTTTGTCAGGGTTTCTGTGTTTCTTCATTTCTTTTAGATAGATTTGCTGTGTTTCCTTGTGTAGAGAGTAATGGCCTTATGAAGAAGGCATTCTGTGGTGTCCAGAAGCTCAAGACTCTTTACTGTCCAGTGCCTGGCTCTCCTTTGTGGTGGAACCCCAGTTGTTGTTGGTGGGCAATGGGTGGGGCCTCCTTCTTGTCTGTCTGTTGGCAGTGGTCCATCTGAGTCCTCTGTGGCTGCCAGTTTGCCTCATTTGGCTCTTTGTGATTTGAGCAGTGGCTTCTGCTGGATTGTTATGGGCAGGGCTGCCCTCTGCCTGCCTTGCAGTGATGACAAAGCTGCTGGGCTAATGGTTTGGGCAGTGCTGTCACATGGCTTTGTGGCAGATGACCAGTTTTTGGACATAGGCATGCACATGGTGTCAGGGTGTGCAGTACCAGGATGAGCTGCCCAAAAGGAGGAAGGTGTACTTGGACCTTGCCCTCACATACACCTCCCCAGTTGGGCTGAAATAGGGCCAAGATAGCTGGGAAAGCCTTCCTCTGCTTGCCAGGCAGCAAAACCTGCCTCCATGAGTCAGACAGCAAAGTTTGATGCTTCTGGACCAAGTGGGTGGGCAGACAGGTGAGTACATAAGGAAGTGCCTTGGGGCTGAGCTGCCAGTGAGAGAGATGAAGCATTTGGGCCTCCCCCAAGCACCTGACCAGTTGGGCTGAGGGAGGACTATAGAAGCATCATGCATCTGCCTTTTCTCCTGCAGAGAGAACTCCATCCAACCCTTGCCCTCTGGCATCTTTCCCACTGCTAGTAAATCTTTCAAACTGTTGCTTCTGTGTTGGGTCTCAGTGGTACCAGCAGAGCATACCCCTCCTTTACAAGTGGTAGGAATCTCAACCTCCCAGAATGCTCCAACTCTCCCTGATGTCCAGCCCCATTAATCACCAAAGCCTGATGCAATGTGCACTTGTGTTCCCTGAACAAAGTGTGTAGAGTTCCTGAGTGCCTATCCTCTCCCTGCTCTGTTCCTCTTCCTCCCACTTTTCGGCTATGATGGGGGAAGGGCTTGTGTTCCACTTGACCATGGCTCTGCTGCTTTATTCTTCTCTGTGTGGTTTTCTCTTCTTCACCAAGTGTAGGTGGTCTGTTCTGCAGTCTTCTGGTCATTTTCAGGGTTAGCTGTATTTGCTGTAGTTGCTTCTTTGGTGTGTGTGTGTGTGTGTGGGAGTGGGTTTCTGCCTTGCCTTTCTACTCTATCATCTGTTTCTCCTGTCAATCAGAAAATATTTCATTTAATATTTCTTACAAGGTAGGTCTATTGGAAAACATTCCTTCAATTTTTGTTTGTCTGAGAAAATATTTGTCCTTCTCTTTTGAAGGATAATTTTGCTGGATACAGAATTCTAGGTTGCTGCTTTTGCTTTCAGCATTTTAACTGTGTCACTCCACTGTCTTCCTGCTTGCATGGTTTCTGAAGAGAAGTCTGATGTAATCTTTTATCTTTGTTCCTTTTTGAGTAAGGTAATTTTTATTTCTGACTTCTTTCAAGATTTGTCTTTATATTCAGCAGTTTGAACATGATATGCCTAGGTATAGATTTTTTTGGGGGGGTATTTATTGTGTTTCTTATTTTCTGGGCTTCCTGGAACTGTCCTTAGTGTCTGTCATTAATTTTGAAAAATTCTCAGTCGTTATTGAAATATTTATTTTCTACTCTGTCTCTTCCTACTACTCCCATTGAATACATGTTACACCTTTTGTAATTGTTCCACAGTTCTTAGAGTTCCTTTCATTCTTTTTTCTCTATGCTTTTCAATTTTGAACATTTCTATTACTAAATTTAAAAATTACTCATTCGTTTTTCAGCCGTGTGCAGTCTACTATTGAGCAAGAAAGGCTTTATTCAATTCTGTTACAGTATTTTTTTATTTTTGGCATTTTGGTTTGATTCCTTCTTAGGATTTCCATATCTCTGCTTATATTATCTACCAGTTTTGGCATGTTGCCGAATTTTTTCATATTAGAACCCTTAGGATAGTTATTATAAATTCTTGATTTGATAATTCCAAAATTTCTGTCATATCTAAGTCTGGTTCTGAGTTTTCTTAGATATATTCAGACTATGTTTTTTGCCTTCAGCATGTCTTGTAATTTTTGACCAGACGTGATGTATTGGGCAAAAGAAACTAATGTAAAATAGGTCTTTAATCTGAGAATGTTGTGATCTGTCAAGAAGTTAGGGTGTGTTTACTGTTTGCTGTAGCTTTAGGTATCAGAAGAACAATTTCCTCCAGAGTCTTTTGTTTTTGTGTCCTTGGTTGTAATTGCATTTCCCTGGAGTCTCCTTCTTAAATTGGGTCTGAGGCTTCCCATTCTTTCATCTGTAATCCCCTGTTAATATACAGCAGCTTTATTAACATGGTGGTAAGGGATGTGTGTGTAAGCATCTTATAGTGCTATAATTAGGTTTGATTCCTTTTCCCCCTGTGCTGTGAACTTCACAAGTGTTTTATAATTTTTTTTTCTTGTTTGATGAAAGAGGAATGCTGGAGCACTCTGGAGTTATATGTCCCTTCTCCTGTGTGGAAGGCTAGTTGGGGTTGGAGTTGGGTATTCTGCCCACCTGGAAGGCTAGGGGAGAGTAAAATTGGGTATTTACCTTCCTCATAGTTGGTTAGGTTTTTGCAAAACCCAACTCAGTTAGGCTCTGGTAAAATAGTTTCCCTTGAGGATAGTCTTTTATTAAGGAGAACAGAATATTCTGGACATATTTAAAAATGATTCTTCTTCCCTCTCCCCCTGTTAAATGTCTGAAGGAATTCTCCACCATTCCTCACTCTGAATGTGGTAGAACTACTGGGGAAAAAAACCTCAGGAAAGTGTGGAAGCAAAGTTCAGGAAACTATAAAGGTTTCTCTAAAATCCCCTGTTTTTTTTTTTTTTTTTAACTCTCAAGTTCAGCCACATTCAGCCTCTGGCAATTCATCATTTATAGTTTAAGTGTTCCTCTTGCTACTGGGTTTAGTGGCAGGCCTCTGTTCTTGGCAAGCTTTGATTATCTGTACTTTTCTGTCTTCCCTTTTTTGGAGCCAGCAGGTAGTAGTGTGACCTTAATTCTTTTATGGACCTAAGAAGAATTGTTGATTGTTAGTTATTCAGCTTTTTTTTTATTGTGAGGATTGAAGTGATGACCTCAAAGTTCATTATATGTCAGACTAGTACTACTGATTTTTTTTTTTTTGAGAGGGCATCTCTCATATTTATTGATCAAATGGTTGTTAACAACAATAAAATTCAGTATAGGGGGGTCAATGCTCAATGTACAATCATTAATCCCTCTCCAGCCTAATTCTCGTCAGTCTCCAATCTTCTGAAGCATAACAAACAAGTTCTTACATGGTGAACGAATTCTTACTTAGTGAATAAATTCTTACATGGTGAACAGTACAAGGGCATTCATCACAGAAACTTTCGGTTTTGATCATGCATTATGACCTATAAACAATCAGGTCAAATATGAATATTCGTTTGATTTTTGTACTTGATTTATATGTTGATCCCACATTTCTCCTATTATTATTATTATTTTTATTTTTAATAAAATGCTGAAGTGGTAGGTAGATGCAAGATAAAGGTAGAAAACATAGTTTAGTGCTGTAAGAGGGCAAATGTAGATGATCAGATGATCAGGTGTGTGCCTATGGACTAAGTATTAATCCAGGCTAGACAAGGGCAGCAAGACATCCACGGATGCAGAAGATTTCTCTCAAAGCAGGGGGGGTGAGGTTCTGAGCCTCACCTCTGTTGATCCCCAAATTCTCACCTGATGGCCCCCCTGCGACTGTGCCTGTCTTAGGTTGTTCCTCCCTTGAGGAATCTTACCCGTCTCTGGCTAACCAGTCATCTTCCGGGGCCATACAGGGAAATGTAAAGTTGGTAAGTGAGAGAGAAGCCATATTGTTTGCAAAGGTTAGCTTTTTACTTCTTTGCAGATTTATGCCCTGTGGCTTCTATGCCCAGCACTTGTCTCGAGGTATCTTTACCACCTGGAGGAATTATGATACTCGGTAAATTCGATATGAGGCACGAATTCTATTTAAGGGTTGTAATTAGGAAGGAAGAAGAAAAGCTATAGATGTAGCTAGTACTACTGATTTTTATAAATTGATCTTGTGTGTGGTAACTTTTCAGAACTCTCCTGTTAAATTATTTGTTAATTTTATTGTTTTTTTCTATGTCACCTGCAAATAATAATAGTTTTGTATCTTCATTTCCAATTATTGTAAAGGAATCTTCTATTCCTTTTTTTTTCTCTTACTGCATAGGAATCTTAACTTTCCTCAGTGACTGCAAAAGCTCTCTAACTCTTTTTCAGTCTAGTGGCCATATAGATGAGAATAAATTATCTTCTGGCCTTTACAGACTTTCATAATCAACAGTAATTTTTAAAATTATTTTTTAGACTCTTAAGTGATTTATTTTCTTGAGAATTTATAATTCTTCCTCTCTGGTGCCTAATTTCTCATTCCTTCTTGAAGATTTAATGTTCCTTTTCTTAATAATCTGTGAATGTAGTGAACTACATTGATTTCCTAATACTAAACTATCTTTGGATTCCTAGGATAAATTCAACTTGGTCATAATATATTATTATTTTTTGTGTATTCTTCTGGATTTGGTTTGCTAATGTTTTATAATCTTTTCCCTGGCTTTTCCAGATATAGCATATAGCTTCCTCCTTTCAGACATTCAAAGAGTTTTTGAAATCTTCCTGCCTGTAAACAAAGGATTTTCCTCTAATATAATTGCCACTCTTTGTCTCTTTCTCTCTTAGAAAATAACCCACATTATTGGTATATCGTTTAATTTATATCTTATTAGATAGTTTATAAATTCTGTGACATGTTATAGTTAACTTCCTGAAATACTATGTGTTAATTCAGATTATTGTTATGAAGTGGTTAGTCTTCAAGTCCTCACAATACCATGTGCCTATCATACTTAGTGAATACTTCTTGATGTAATGGATCAAATTTGGATTTCTTTGATGGTATGAAAATATCCATTAATTTGTTTAACACATATTTATTAATTATCTATTATATGTCAAGTACTATTCTAGATGTTGAGATACAGCAATGAATAAAAGAATCTCTACCCTGGTGGAATATTTTGGTAATACCCTTAAGCCTAGTAATGGTCTCAGAATATAAATAAGTCTTTATTGTGATATATTGGCAATTTATACAGAAAAACATTCTTCATATCTAATAGTCATTTCATGCCTAAGGTCAAAACGTTAATATACCATTTTTAATCAGTGATAAAAAACAAATTTGACTTCCTTAGTGCTTTAGACCTTTCTCATTGAAAAGTTAATTTATAGTCCTTTTTGATTATAGTTCATGTAAACATGAAGTATTCATTCATAATCAACAGTGAAACCTAAGTAATTCTACCATAAAATTACTTCTATTATGGATACATACATATTTTTCAAATGGCTTAGATAAACTCTGATTTTGTTAATATACTAAATGAATTTGTAGCATATTCTGAAAATGTTTCTTAAAAAGTCTACAAGTACAAATATGCATCTTCTTTTTATATGGAACTAATAGGGATTTTTCAGAGACAGGAATTGGTATACTCATTTTGATTTACATTTAACATCCAATTAGTATTAATTAACTCAAGTAATGAGGAAATTTACAACTGTTGTACATTCATTTTTATGTTACAAAGAGTTTTTTAGTAAACATATTTAACAAATTAAATTCTAAATAAGTGTTTTCTAAGTATGTACAACATTGAATTTTAGTTCTAATACAATTCCTAGTTTAAAATATAGATAAAATCAGAGCTAACCCAAAAATTACCAAACTGATTGCAGAAATCTTGGTACCCAGAGCGGGAACATGGTATTCCTGTGGAGGAATAAACTTGATTGCTTGTGCAATGTTAGAAACCTCTGAGGTGAGATTGGTTTCATGGATGGCTTGCACTGCAATATAGATTTTGGTGCCATTTTCTATTTTAAAAGGTTCTGGTTCAAATTCAAAATTTTCTACTGAGCCAGCCTCCTTAGGTATCAGACTAGAAGTATTCACAAAAGCAGCCTTGTCAAAATCTTCTCGGAGATTCAGGAAACATTTACTCATTCTTATAATGTAGCTGTTTGCTGGAAAACAAATAGGTACTTTATGTATATTAAAATTACTAGGATGCCTGTTGCTACCACATTTACTGCCTTACATTTAGGGGACTATCAGGAATGAACACTAAGTTTTGGTTAAGGAAATCCCAGATACAGTTTTTGTCTGGGTATTCCAACTTTAAGAACCCATGTATGAACAGTTTTTTATCTATCTAATCACAAAAAGTTTTAATTCAAAATCATATAGTAGTGAAAAAAATGGAATCTAGATTTCTTTTTAGAATTAGAAATATGAAGAGCTGAATCCACTTTTAATTTAGAACTAAGAACACAATAATATTCGAGTATTGTAAATACATCTGTATTATTTCTTATATATAGAGAGAGAGGAAGCAATAGGAGGGGGGAGTAAGAGAGCAGATAAACAGAGTGGGATGCAGGGATAAGGATAAATAGCAAAAGGAGGCAGAGAGACTAGAATGTGTACCAATTAAAACATGATTAGGATCTGGGAGAACTGATTAGCACCTTCATTCTACTACTTTCTTGCTGTGTAATAAAGAAAAACTTACTTAACCTGTTTTACCTTTAGTTTTCTTATCTGTAAAATACATTAAAAACTTAGTCACTCAATTTAACAAATATTTATTGAATGATATTTTTATGGTGAGACTTATATATGCTAATGCATGAAAGTGTTTAGCACAATGTCTGGGACTTTAGAAATATTAGCTATAATAATTGTTATTTTATCCAGAAAGGATGAAACTCATAAAAGTTTCATTCCAGAATGTTTTTAGAAATATTTCAGGAACATTAATATAAAAATATATTCTTACATTCCAAAATGTCATAAATAAAAAATCAAATGTCCTTTTTTGAAGTGCAGACTTAAATTTTCATCAAATGTTGAAGATGTTTTAAGTGTTATGGTGAACAATAATTTAGTGAATAGTGATTTTTGATTTAGTAGTTTTCTAAAAACAATCAGACCCAGTGCCTTAACATTTTAGTTATTCAATTAATAGACCTTATGAATCCATTCTGCTACTCTTCACATATACCCTATGTTCCATTTTGGTGGGTTGGTTTGTCTATCTATCTATCTATCTATCTATCTATCTATCTATCTATCTATCTATCTATCTATCTATCTATCTATCATCTATATATTCCTTATTTTAATCAAAATATTCCATTGTGAAATTTTGCTTTCTTGACTTCGATCATTTTTATTCCTTCTCTCCATGTCATGACTTCCTGGAGTGAGCCTCTTTCTCCCTATCTACATGAATTGTACCTGTTCTTCAAGGCCCAACATGAGGCACAACTTCATGAAGTCTTGTTCACATATTTCATCTATCCTGATGCCTTTCTTCCATGAAATTGTAGCACAAAATGCAGTTTTAGTTTATGGGGGTTCGACCTATCTTTTCATAATCATATTATTCCTGAGGGCAAAGACTGTATTTTATACTCCTTTTGTATCAACTAGAGTATCTAGTTCTGTGTTGGGTGTGTATTGTATCTGATCTCCTTAATTACTTGTTGGCCAAAAATACAATAATTAATTCAATGCCCAAATTGATGGAATTAGAGGATCATAAAATATTACAGTCACATCTACTTGTTTTAGTAATTCTAGGTTATCTAGTTAAATCTGCATATTGGGCAGGTGTGGAAGTGGGGTCCCAGAGAATTTTGAGATTATATAGATATTCATGTAGATAGGGAGAAAGAGCCTCACTCTAGGAAGTCACAAGGACAGAGGGCTCTTAGACCACCTACTTGTAGACATTTGTGGTTAAACACAGTGAGGGTTTTTTCTCTCAATGTACATGTATAACACATTTTTCCTTCTTGTAGCTCCTGTAATAAGGATGAGGGTCATTTATTATGAATCTAGTCTTGAACTGAAGGCTCGGTCTTGACTGAATTGAATTTAGAACTAAATATTTGGTCAGGTGACATCACTGTAGCTTTTTCAGTGGAATTTTTTTTTATAATGCCGTATCTTTAAGGGGTAATAGCATGGAAAACAATGTATTTCAGAAGCTCTTGTGGTATGAGTTTTCTACATTGTACAAGAGAGCTCTTTGTGGGTATACTGTTTCCTTTGGCTTTAGAATTATATTTTCCTTGTATAATAATGATAAAAAAACATAGCTTTGAAAAATGCTATGTAGGAAATGAAAGAGTTAAAAGCATCTTTTCTTTTCATAGTGTACAATGAAGGGTTTATTGTAACCCAAGAGAAAGAGTACTGAACATGTGGCTTTTCAGCTTTGACAACCCCTGAGATATTGTGTATATCAATACTACATATTGCTTTCATGTTCCCACCTTAAAGGGAAAAATAGCAAGATTGGCTTTATATCATAAGAATCTTCTATGTAATATGTAATAGTACATAGTTCTAGCAAAATGCTGGAATATGGTAGGTATTCAATAAATACTAACTGAATTCAGTTAAATTTAAAGCAAAGATAAAAGTGATTTAAACTTTCTAGAATGAAGACGATTTATTGTAAGAAACTTTGAGTGAATGAGATACTTTGACCTTGAACTTCATTCAAACTCCCATGGCCAAATCTCTCAAACCAGTGCGTGATCCTCTCTCTGCATTGGATACCTTCACCTAACTTGGCTAACTTCTCTCATTCTTTAAGACTTAGGTCAGGGGCAGTCTTCTCTGGGAAGCCTTTTAAGATATGCCTTGTGATCTTAATCTCCAACTTGGAGTTTGTGACTTTCCAGTGGGCTGCCATATATCATTCTGTGCTTACAATAGCATCTCTTGTCACATTTTGTAAAATTATCTGTTTACTTGCAAAAAGTGGTATAGGGATTATTGGTTAGGAACCTAAAAGTGTTGAAAATTCAACAAATGATCAGTCAGTGAATGAAATTGTTTAAGTACAGAAATACTTAGAAAAACATTTTCCTATTAGGGAAAGAAGAATGCGACAGAAGACTGTTAACTCATTCCTCTAAAAATAACTTTTAAGGTGGTTCATATTGTGCAAGGCAGTTTGGCACAATAGAATTGACAAGAGTAGGTTAGAATTCAAAATTATTAAATACAGAAATTATTTGAACTAGTTCATCATCTCTTGGAGTTTTGATTTCACATCTGAAAATCGGTGAGTAATGGTCCATAGTAAACACTCCATACATGTTATTTTATAAATAGAACTTTAGAAAATTCTTAACAAATGAAAACCAATGGGATTTCTGTTAATATATTTTTAAATGAAATATCAAACTTACCTTTTCCTTTATCAAGGACATTGCCAGGGGCAGTCCATGAAAGTTGAATATGATCATCTTTAAACTTAGCCTCAAGGTCTGTAATTTTACCAGGTGGGAACACATGAGTTGGATTTCCAGGAAGAGGAGCTCCTGATACAGTAAATGACCCTCCTGAGGTTAGTCTGCTGAAGTCTTCTACTTTGGCTTCTGCCATGTCATCTTTGGTTTCAGGTCTGGGTGGGTTCAGTATAATTTTACCTACAAAAAAAAATTAGTTTTGTAATTTTTCATATTAGGATGTCTATTCTTGTCTTATAATCTCATCTTGCAGCTGTAGAGGCTTAATATCTATTGATAGAAGACACTGAAAAAATAATAGCTTTTAGTGAAAAAATTTTCAGTAGTGTCATTTTAAAATTGATGAGAGACATTATGCAATGTTAGAACTGTCTTGCGATAAATCTGTCTTTACTACTTTACCATAAATTCTTTGAAGATAAGGTGGTGTCTTATTTATTTTTGTAGCTCCAATATCTAGCAAAATGCTTGCCACATAGGAGATGCTCAGTATAATTTTTTCAGTGTAAATGAAATGAACTGAGGGGTATGTAAACAAAACACATTGGAAGCATAGTCCTATGCTAGGTCTATTAATACAACTAGGATTTTGAAACATACAGATTATTATAAAATTACATGCCTAGGTTTTTTTCCATAGTACATATTTATAATATGTACTAGTACATATTACATGTTTGCCATATGTAATTTACCTAAGCAAATGACACATGTCTATTTTAATACCACTTACCATTTTCAACATAGCCTGGTATATACAGAGCTTTGTTCTGTCGTTGTTTTAAACTTAGCCTAGCCGTGTTCTTCTTTGCCTGGGCACGTACTTTTAAACTGTATCTACCATTTCCATGGTAATCTGTAAAATATCTTGAGTAGATGCCATCATTCTTGACAGTATCAGCACCTTGGTATTAAAATGTAATAATGAGCCATCCAATAAAATAAAAATAACTTCCCAACTGTTCATGAGCACTAAGTGATAATAACCATTTAGTATAACACGGTGTTTTAAGTACACAAAATCTGGAATCAGACTGCTGGGTTCAAAGACTGGTTTGGCCACTTGTTTACCCTTGACTTTGGAAAAGTCTAATTCATGGTAAGCATTTAGTTAATATTAATTATTATTATTTCATTAAGAAATCTTAACAAAATAAGGAAGGTATAACTAAACTGGGCAAAGCACATGCAAAACACTGACATGAATGAGAATAGGGAAAAAATTATACTCTTAATTCCATGGATAAAGTAACATTGTGCATGAAATTTAAAGAAGATAAACGTGCTCATGTTTATGCCTAATCAAGATAACTGAGTAGAAAGTTTAAAAAACATTAATTACATGTTTGGTAATATGTTAAATGTAGTAAATTTAACATAAATTCACTTAAAATGTGATTCATTAGCATACAAAGGCAATATTGACTTCTAAGTCGTGACAGTAGTAGGATTTTGAGTTCAGTGGAAGCTAATGCATATTCTTACTACCTGCACCATTGTCCCAGAGCTCCAGTGTTACTTGATGTCCATCTTCGGTTTCTATAACTGCTGTTACATTGATTTCCAGAACAGGCAGAAACCCTTGACTGACTTGTGCATAGACAATTACTGGGTTAGGGTACTGTGCTGTATCTTGACTCATGTGAGCCGTCGCAATGACTGGCAGTGTGGTGGGACTTCTTGCCCTAGTTGTCATTGTCACTGTCAGCATTTGAGAGCTGGCATGTTTATTTAGAAGGCTGTAAGTCCAAGTACCTGTCTGAAAATAAAAAATATACATTTGAGCGCTTTGTAGTATTTTCCTACTCCTGTTTGGAATATAAAATTATTTAGAAATTTTAACATAGTAGTGATTTTTAATATGTGATTTTATGTGCTATAAATAATAAGGATATGAATCCCTAATTATTCTGTTTGGCTTCTTTTTTATGACACATGATCTGTCACTGTTTTAACACTGACAATGTGTAAGATATTATTTTTGCTTGTTTTTTCTTGAAATTGATAAAGCATGGAGAAAATAAAATAGTATTCTTACCTCTGCAATACCTGGTATTCGAAGACGGGCAGACCGAATATTTAGTTTATCTTCCACGAAATCTGAGGTTTTGTATGTCCTTCCTTTTGGATCTTGAAGAAGAATTTCTGGCTTTTGTGTTGTCCATGTGACAACCAAGAAAGTGTCATTTCCAATTGTGCTGTCCAGAGGCACTGTGCCATTTATCTGTTTCCTTCCTGCAATATTCCAGGCTTTACTTTCCAACTGTTAAATAAATAACAACAGGCCTGTAAGACTGATTTGTTATTGTAGTTAATAAAATTTCAAAGTTCAGTCAGTTCAGAGGATTCTAAATTTATCTTTAAGATTTCAATGAAAATATGAATTATTTTGAAGAATTTTGCAAATAAAAAGCATTTATAATTGTAAAGAATAGAAGAATTAAAAGTAAAGGTGGCTGTTACGTGTCACAGAAAAAGAAATTCAGTAAGGATGTTTTTCTTCTGCACACATGAAATATTTTCAGGCAAAAGAGTTATTTATTAGAGAAAGGAGTTACTATTTAATATAATGGAAATTTATTACCAGTGTGAAAAGGCAAAGGATTTTTCTGAGATACTGACCTGAATAGCCTGCTCAGTGGTATGGCCACTTCTAGATGAAATTCTACTGAAAGCATCAATAAGGCCATTTATATCTTTATTGGCATAAAAACGATGTCCTCCTAAAATGGAATTTATCTACTTTTATTATGCTAATTTTAAATGGGAGAATCATATTTGTTATTGTGCTTTTCTCAGTATACTTTAAAATTTATTTTTGAATTTATAAAAGCTGAATTTCCCAGAACCTTAGGAACTTGTAGAGTGTCAGTGTCCCAGATGTAATCCTACAGTAACCAAAACCTTGCTCAAAATAGGTTAAAGTGAAGAAAACTTAAAGAATTGGTCAAATGTTATTATTTTTACATCAGTCATCAGATGTAAGTGCCTGCTTCATTAGAAAACTGATCTGATCAGTAAATAATGTTGCTAAAATGAAATTTAAGGCAATTATTTGAACTGCTTGCTTATTTTCTAGTTGTGTCTTATATCAAAACAGAGAATGATAGTCTAGAATAAAGTAAAAATTGATTTAGTGCAGAAAATAAATAGTATAGGAGTTAAGATAGAGATTACTTGGTTGTGAGGAGTTAGAAAAGAATGGATTGCAGAGGGCAGAACTGTAATCAAGACTCTAACTACAACCTTAGACAAATTGTTTGTACTTCCTATATGGAATAGGGCTATCTGAATCTCTACTGTAGGATTGAGCAGGACAGATACTGAGCAAGAATTTTGGAATTGCAGTTGAATAATTAGTAATCATGGAGAAAGAAGTTTCAGTTTGGGGTATTGGTAGAAAATGGTGAGAAATGAATGAAGACTACAAATGTGAACTAATATTAGAAGCTATTTTAGGTAGAAATGGAGAGAGGTTGGCAAGGAAAGGAAAGATTTTAATTTGAAGGACAAGGACAAGAAATTGACAAAGATTAATTTTTAGGATAGGAAATTTTTGAGTAGTTGTATAGTTTATGGGGAAAGATCTTCTGGAATGGGAGAGACTGAAAGTTTATTTACCTGTCATATTTGACAGAGTCTCTAGTTCTTTGGCAGCAGAAGGTCCCAGAGCAATTGTGTGGATGACAGCACCACTTTGTTTAACCTCCACAAAGCATGAACTTATTTGATCATCTTCCCCATCTGTTAATAATATGATTTCAGAACCAGAAGTACTCTGGTTACTGTGCTTAATTACCTGATAGTGAAAAAACAGATTATTAATTACAGAATATAATATCTAAATACTAAACCAAGAATAAACCTGTTCTTTAGTCTTAGAGAAGTCTTTAGGGCTCTGCATCAGAGGAGGTAAAACAAAACTGCATTGCCATTACAGGGTGAGTTGGCATGGAAATGAGTGTAATATACAATGGTCTTGCAGGTTTTCAAAAATAACAGTGTCAACAGTACTTCTAATCCTTTCAAATACACTTAAGCTACTCAGTAGAAGAAGGATAAAAATACTTTGAATAATGTCTAGCACATAGTAAGTACTCAGTGAATGTTAGCTATTATTATCTCAGGAGATACTTGGGGTGGATGCAAAATGACCCAAACAGTTTTGAAAGGCTGCAGACTAGACAGCACTTTCAAAGTCAGGTGTGCAAGGTTAAATGATGTGACAAGTGCCTTTTTACATGTTTAGTTGATTATTGAAGAATCTCAGGATTTCCTGGAAAAAAAAATTAACCTGCCATGAAGAAGAAAAGTCATAAATTTATCAGTTTTACAATTTCTTTTGTCTTTTCCTGACTTTTACCAAGAGTATTGGCTAACATCTTTAGTCAGACAAATTGAGAGTAAATTACAGCTCTGCCATTTGCTAAATAAAACTGTTTACTTTCTCTCATATATATATAAATATATATATAATAGATCATATTATATAATGTGTATATGTATATATATATATATATGATAGAGTTCTATAAATAGCTCAATGTAGAATTTAACTCTGGACTTTGGAGTAAGAAAGACCAAGGTTTCAATTTGCTAATTACTGACTATATGATCTTGAGAAAGATATTTAATTACTCTGAGTCTCAGTTTCCTTATGTGTAAAATGGGCATAAAAATAGTACCTAACTAAAAATATAATGGTAAAATAAGATCATGCATGTAAAACATTTAACATAGTCAATAATGTATATATACTGAACAAATTTTAGCTATTATTGTTATGATTATGTAAGTAAAATACTTATATATTGATATGATTTCATCATATATATAATTAAGAGGAATTTATATCTTTGAATGTGATTTGACACAATCTATTTAGGAATAGACTCTGGTCAAAATAGCATATGACATATATCAAAATATATTAAGAAAAACATATATAAACCAAACGCAAGCATTATAATACATTCCCAATGTATAGTGCTATCATATTTTAGAAGTGAATATGCATACAAAGTAAGAATTGTGATTTCATAATAATAGCAATCCTTGAACACTTACTTATCTTACCTAATTCTCACAATTAAATGAGTTAGGTACTATTATTTTCCACAGTTCCTTGGTTGAGGAAACAGACTTTTTGAGTTGAGTAACTAACCCAGGTTCATTTAGCTAGTAAATAGTAGAACCAGAATCTCAGGTTTGTCTAAATCCAGAGCCTGCATGCCTTCGTAAACTAATATGCTTTACAACACAGAGACATCACAAGGAAAGCTAAAAGATGGTAATCAGTGGCCTGGACTCCACTTTTTAACTGAGTCAATTAGAGGATCAGTGAAGGAAAACAATTTTCTGTTTTTGTGACTTAAAGAATAATGTAAATAGGCTTAGGCTATCTTGTGTTGGAAGAAATTCAAATAAGTACAGTTTAATATGGTACTCAAAAGTTGCTACAACATTTATTACATTAAACTTCCAACTGTGTGTCTTGGGTTTGGTACAATAATGCTTGAGGAACTGCCTCTATCTTTGTGATTTTTAAGTCAGTTTAGATGAATTGGGGTTTTCTTTATCTGTGATATAGGGATATTATTAATTTCCCTCTTCCACAATCCCCTGAACATTATTTTCTGCTCATAGCAATTCAGACTTCAGGAGTTATAAAGAAATGGGGAGCTCCTTAATAAAATAATTATGATTATGTACACACTGGATTTTTCTTCCCTTACTTAACCACCACCCCTAACGCAACTCAGTACCTCAGACTATGTTGGTGGAATAACCAACACTTAGAGAGGCTCCAGCTGTAAATGAGAGACAGTAGGAGAGACTTTAAAAAAACTATTATCTAAATGAGGGGTCTATGAACTAATGACCTATGTTCAAAGATAGTTGGACAAAACTAAAAGCAATGGTAAGTGGCAAATGATATTTAGGAAAGCATTTTTGTTTTACCTGGAATCCTTCTCTGAGTCCACTGCAAATTGAAGTTCCACCACCAGCTACTTGAGGCAGGTTTACAGTGATCTTTTGATAAGCATTATCATCAGTTATTTTTGTTAGATAATTCTGGATTTTAGCAAAACTTTCAAATGTGACCATTCCAACCAAGGATCCCTTTTCAATAATTTGAATCAAGTATAGTTCTGCTGCTTGATTCATTCGAAAGAGACGGTCTTCCTGTAAATAAAAGATGTATGAACAATTCCTGAGTCTCCTCAAATCTTGAAAAGTTGGTAAAAGAAAAAATTGTCCATAGGCCAGAGATCATGACAGTAATTGGTTACTGTATTTTAGAATTTAACTAATTCATTTTTTTAAAAGAAATAATACTAAAGAAAAGTTTTTAAAATCAGTCATGCTGTACTTGGAAAAGCTTTAAAAATCCATACCTTTTTGTTTAACAGTTTTATATTCAGGAACTTAGGCTAAGGAAATAATTTACAAAAATGTCCATTGCAGCATAATTTTTAATAACAAGTCGATAATATCCAAAATTCTAATAACAGGTTATTTGGTTAAATTATGATACTGCATATGATACAACCATAAAATATGTCATGGAATAATTTTTTCCATGGGGAGTATTTAATGTAAAGTAAGTAAAAAAGTCATACTATAAAACATTATATAAAATACCACATTTTCGAGGAGGAAAAACAAGTACAAGAACAGAAAAGTACTGGAGTGACATATGCTCAAAGAAGGAATATGGGTGATTGTCATTTTTTCTTTTCAGTAATGTATTGCTAGAATGTTACAACTACAAGAGTAAACATCCATAATCCAATAACCTTAATATAACAATTATTTTTATTTTAGTATGTTATCTCCTAATACTTGTCCATATAAAGTCATTGTAGTAAATTTTATTACAATAGTGAACATATATTTTAGTTTAGTAGAACTAACCATAAGATTAAATTATATTTCTATTAGCTTAAGTATTTTAGAGACTAACAAATGTCTTACTGAATTCATGCTTCCAGATTTATCAAGTACCAAGCAGACTACTCGTTGTTTGGACTTAAGCAATGAAAATGTAGGATGAGGTGGTTCATCTGTTCCCATCATGGGCAATGCATTCTGAAAATCATCAGAGTCCATCATCACATCCCATGTGCTTCTGTGATTACACATTTTGTTTTGTAGGTTTGGAGCTTCTGGATTGTGTGTTTCAGCTGTACAAAATTCAGTCACCTGGAAAAAGACAATTAGAAGGCGCTATTATGATAACCAGTGAGGTATGCAGTTGGCTACCATATACATTCTCCATGGAGTTTTATCTCCTGATAGTTAAAAATTATTTGATAATCTAACATTCTGACATCTACTTTACATACTTGAGTGGAAAGGATGCAAGGTAAAACCGTCAATATGCACTGGAAAGTTTTTGGCGATTCTTTAAGGTATAGGTAGATCATGGGTTGAGGGGTTGACTACTGGCACAGCAGCTTAAGTTAACCTCAGCAGCTTAAGTTAACCTGCTACTTTCCCTTCTAGACTTTTGGGGGACTCAAGCCTTGAATTAAATTTAATGGAAAAAGGGACATTTGCAGTCATTTCTAGCCGCTCCAAAAAAGGGAAATAAAGAAAATGGCTTTCTTAATTGCCTATCTATTTTCTGTCATTTTATAGTTGACTGAAAAACTTGAGAACAGATATTCCAACAGCCTGGATTGTTATTGGCTCTGGTGAACTCTGACATCAATAAAATAATAAAATAAATAAAAGACTCCTGCAAAATAATGAAAATAAAAGGAGAACACAAGGAAATGTGATTGTTTTTCTTTCAGTTGCCAATGGTGAGTTATATCCAGTAATTCTGTCAAATGATGTTTCATTATTGTAGAATCTGTGAAAATCCTACAAGTTTTGAAAACTTAGTAACTTGAAAAGCGCTCCCATAAATAGTGCAGCATTCAGTAAGGAATTTTCTTGCAGTAAGCATCAGTTTGTAGGAAATACTTTTTTAAGTGTCATTTCATTTTTTAAAAAGCCCTCCCAATACAGTAACCTGATGTAAGCTCAGATTTTAAACTAAATTGAATTTGCATACCTTTAAGTTTTAAGAATTTGTTTTCCTTGTGATATGACTCTGACTTACATTTCTCAGAGGGGGTTATATTAGATGGGAGAAAAATACAGTTTTCAGTCAAAGCAGTGATTCACTATTAAGTCTTGCTGATATGAAATGCCCATCAAATCTGGTCCTCTTTCCCGTCACTGCCACTGCCTTTATGTGGGACCTTTGAGTCTCTTATCTGCCTCCTGCTAGGCCTTACAACTGGTCTTCTGTCTCCACTATTATCTCACTCCATTTTCTCCTTCACCATTAGTAGGATTATCTTCCCACCAAAATTATGCTGATTACATCACCAGTCTGATGCTGATAAACTAAAATCCAAACATCCTACTTTTTTTTATAGGTTCTTGTTTCATTTCCTACTCTTTGTTTACTGTTATCTTTTGTTTGTTCCACACTGAACTTTTTCCTGTCTTTAGAGTGTATCAGAAGCTTTCACAAGAGTCCCTGCTAACCCAAATGGGAAAATGCACAGAAAATTTTGTGCATATTAACAAAAGGTTGCTCTGTCTCAAGTTCTTTTATTGCTATCTACCTGAAAATTGTTTTAGTAAATATTAAGATCTTTAGTGACTATGATGCAGATAATTTGAGCAGTGAAGTTGTATAATCATGTGTGACATCCCTGTGTTTTTTCACTCTTTGTTTTCATAAGCTTGTTTGTTTTCCTAGAATACCTTTCCCCTTCCTGCTTTGGCAAATTCATACTCATTTTTTTCAAATCCTAGCTCAAAACTCATCTCTTTAAAAATGTTTTTCTGACCTCCAGTTGGAGATGTTTGCTCATTCCCACAGCACTTGTTTTATATTTTACTACTTTGTATTCATGTGTATTTTTCTTACATTTCTACCACTCTCACTTAACTAAGTTCCTCAAGCACAGTTATCTTTAATTATTTCTGTATTTCCAGTGTTTAATAAAGTGCTGGTATGAAGTAGGAACCAATGAAGTTTAAGGAAAGTCATGGGATTGATTGTCTAGAGGTAGTATACTTTACTGTTTTTGATAACTTTCATATGTTTCATATTTAAAAATATTTTTTACATGTTTAGAGACTTTAATTAGGTAACTATATTTGCATTAATTAAGACTGGACTTGTCCAGAGAAAGAGACAATTGGCTATTGTCACATCTTTTATAAATTAAAAAATTAAAAATTAAAAATTTATTTTGTATTCACCTGTTCTAAGCACTGTGATCATAGTTTATTTATATTAGCTCTTGTAAACCTAACAATGACACTGTGAAGAGAATATTATAATTCCTATTTAAAAGATGAGAAAACTAAATCTCAGATATAGCAGTTTTCTCATAGTGACACAACTTCAAAATGGCAGACTGGGTTTTGAATATGACATCAAATCTATTAAACTTTAAGGCACCTGTTCTTATCTACTGAAATTTATACATTTAAAACAAGTATTTCAGGTCAAACATTAGCTTTAGGACTTGAATTATTGTCTTATTATTTTTCAGTTAGTCAGATTGGTGATTGTGGACTTTTCTGAAGAAAAGGTTCATAAGAAAGGATGGAAAAATTTCCAAACATACCCTGACACAGGCTGAAGACAATGGTCATAATTACTTGTCTGAGTAATTTCCCTAATTTCTATCAGTATATGTAATTTCATAGTAGAAAATCAGTATTTTTATAATTTTTAATATTATAATATTTTATAAAATAAAAGTCATTATTTTTCCCAAGGGTTCCTCTGTGAGACTAGAAAAAAAAGGGCACTTACAGAATTGAGACTTTGCATGAACATTATGGATTCCCTTGCAGTCTGGGATTTTTCTGGAATGAATGTACATTTTGCTTCATATAGTCCTGTCTGTGAGTCACGTCTGCATGGCCTCGTTATACAGCTGTCTCCTTGGCATTCCTTGAAAACCACGTTAATACCAGTAATATGAGTTGAACATCTATGATGAAAGAATTATATTACATTTATATATGAAGATAATACAAATTATGAATAAAGATTAACATCCTAAAATCTTCCCCTTAGTGATAATTGTTATCAATCATATACCAAACATTCCATTTTGACAGAACTAGTCACAATGTCTTACCTCTATTTACTATCAATTTCAACAAGAACTGTTATGTCAGTTCATATTTATTTACAGTCATTGCTCACTAATGTGATCATTATTCTTGTGACTTTGAAGCTAAAAATTCCTAATTCACAGGGATGTTGTGAAGATTAAATGAGTTAAGAGATACAGAGATACAGCTTACAGCTGGCAGGGGAGTCAACATTATGCTTAAAACCCTCTTTAATTCCTCTGTATGGTGTGTTTGTGCATATTGATATCTGTATCTTGCTTGATCTCTATCCATATAGATGTATATACACGGGCATGTAAACCATACACATAAAACCATGTGTAGTTTTCTGTTTGTGCATTTTGCAATTTATATTTTGAAAACCATTAGGCTAGATTGATGGGGGGAAAAAAACCCTCTGAAAATGCTTGTGCATTCAAACCATTTAGTCTTTATTTTAAGTGAGATAATTGTCAAGTCCCCAGCAAGCAATTGGGGAAGTGGGGGTGGTATGGGTAAAAGATTCTAATGAGTTCCTGTTTATCTGCATGATCTACTCCCATTAATCCACTAATACATTTATTTGCATTGTAAGGATTAAAGGATATGAGGAGTCATATCTTCCAAGGTTAGTTCTAGAATAAGCCTGAAAATTAAAGTGCCTGGCACACAGTGTTATTTTAATACTTGTTCTTACTAATATTATCTCTTTTTATGGCTGATAAGGAAACTCATTCATTTTTCATTAATTTATAAAAAATCTGTCCTCAAGGATCGTAAAGTCTGGTAAGGAAAATAAAATTATACAGACAAATTACTGCACAGTGTAAGAGAAGCCCAAGCATATGGCTTTGGGAACACTCCCAAGGATATTTTACCCCAAATGGAGGGAGAGGAAGGGCTTAGAGAAGAAACATTTAAATTGAGTCTTGAAGGATGAACAAGCATTATTTGGATAAAGGAGATGGTTGGTGCTGGGAGAGATTGTGCGGGATGAGGTGAGAGGAATAAGGTCCTGGGTGGAGAGCCCAGACTATAGGAGAGACTTTAGACAGTAGGGGTAAAGCAAACATTGTAAAGGAGATAGGGAGAGGCATTTTTCTGCCACCTCTTTTCTTTAATATGTTCTTTATCCCAAAGACTTATTTCTTATTATATTGATTTCTGTTGTTCTCTAATACTCTTTAAATACTACATATACTTGATATTTTTAATTTAAATATCTCATCTATTCATAAACAGGACCTATCTAAATCCATCTAGAAATATATTTCTTAAAGATCAATTTACTCACTTATCCAGACGAAAAGTACTTTTTTTCTTCAAGCTTAAAATTAAATGAAATGTAAAATATATTTAACATGAAGCTCTAGTAGTATAATTGATTTCAGTGAAACAGGTTCACCTTAAAATGTTATGAATCAAATAGAATAAAAGGTTAGTCAGGAGCTTGAACTCCAGTTCTCAAGTATCTTAAGATTTAGGCTACAGCTTGTTTCTTTCTCTTCTGACAATAATAAATGTTAGTACAATCCCCACAAATATTGAAATGATTCCCTGTTCCTGGTTGATCTTGATTCCAAGGTGGAATCCCCAGAAGTGGTTGGACATATACATAGTGGGACAGCCTGGATATTGAAGTTAACTATATAAGCATTCAAACACTGAGATGGCCTTTGTTTGTCTAGCATCACAAATTAAAAAGTTGTAAGTGAAAACAGATTTGTTCAAGACAATGATACCTTGTTGCTTCAATAGTGTTCCTTCTGGAAACATAGAATGGTCGATCTACATTATATTCATCAAATATTCCCCACCGGAGATGGGCCCACTCATGGGCAAATACTCTGCCTATGAAAGAATATTACCACTTATAAATTATAGATTTATAAATTTACAGTTTCCTTATATTTTAAGTCCTCCTGCCCTATATCACCAGTCAACTGAGTCAAGAAAATCTTCATTAGGCCAAAAAAGTTGAAATGGGTTAGAATCAATAAATGACCAATTTTTTATTAAACACACACACAAGAAGGAATATAATTAGGTTGAACATAACTAGTATATTTCTAAACAAAGGTATTAATTAATACTTATTTTTCTCTTAAAAAAATTTTTAAAAATACCATTAATCACAGTGTATATTTGTTTCCATTGGAGATAAAAAAAAATGAAGTATAAAACAGGTATCCTTACCTCGGGCCCCGTAGGTAGACAAATTATTAGCCAACAAGAAGTTTGGGGTAAAATGTATGTATTGTCCTTTTTCTCCACATTGTCCATATTGAAGTGTATAGGGATCATCTCCATATTTTAGGTAAGGATTAGCAACTATAACATCTGCCTAAACAGCAGGAGAACAAACAGACCAAAACATATCTCAACAGCAAAAGAAACAAAGCATTTTTTCATCTAACTTGAGACAAGTATTATTACTAATTTAATTACTAAAGTAGTGATCAGTAGTTACTAAAAAATTCTGAATATTTATTTTTAAAAACCACATGATGAAGAAGCAGTTTAGGAGTTAGATAAATACCTTACCTGGTCATATGATTCTTGTTTTGGTATTAAGTACTCAGATTTTGACATCCAAGTCATTGGAATTAAAATGCTTACATTCCTGAAATAAACTCTTCGTTTGGTGGCATGAAACAGGTAAGTAGAAGCTTCAGTAACCATTTCCTGACAACATTAAAAATACCTTGTGGTAAAATTTTCACAATGAAATGAGCATAAAAGTGTATATACAAACAAGAAAAAGCAAATTTAAGCTGCTGTCCCCCAAATATTTTGGCAAAGACTAGTTGAAAGAATAGATTGTATTTTACTGCATCTCTCCAGTCTGTAAACTCTTCATTTTCATTTGTTCAAGAAACAACTCTCTATTTTTATGTGTCCAAACCTGCATTTAACATTATGGGTTGGAGAGGGCAGTGAGGTTTACAGTGAAATATAAAAGTATTAAGACTAAAAGCCTATTGGCAAGTTGCTTGTTTAGTTAAGCAGAGGTACTTAAAATTGAGATGACAGTTTAAAGTTTGGTATGTTTTATACTTCATGATTAAAAAAACAATTTTGCTAGATATATTTTGAGTTATCTTCTCATTGGAGTGTGTTCACTTACCAAGAAGTAATGAAAATAAAAATATATCTCATTGCATCAAGTTCCAGTTTTGCCATTTATATGACTGTACAAATCACTTAATTTCTCCCATTTATACCAAAAGGTTAATAATCTCTATTCTTGACAACTCATAGGGATATTGAGGGAATCAAAGAAGATAGTATATATTAAGGTGCTATATATAAATGTTTTTATTATACTGACCCAAATAAAATTAGGAATAAAATAAAATCAAACTTTAAAAATACGTAATATTTTCTTTAAGATCAGATACATAAGAGTTGAATTTTTCAGAATTAAAGAAAAATGAACAATTGCAAAAATATATAAGATACTAAGCCTCTAGGGCTTAAATGTTGGTTAGTGACTTAAACTTTATAAAGATTAAATTTGAAAATAATTCTCCATGAGCTCAAGGGCCTTTCTGTTAGCTTGATAAATTGAAAAAATATTAGGAGTTTTGCCTTCTAATAATTCATTAAAGACTAATACTATTAATATATGATAAATCATACTTAAACTAAGCAGATACTGACAGTTGAGATACATATTATATAAATGATGAATATTGTCAAAGCAATTTGGGAAAGTTACAGTTCTTAGTGTATATATGTGCCTAGGCAACATGAGTAGAAAATACTTATTGAAATAAAAATAAGTTGCTACTTAATTTTCTTTCTTACCTTTATGTTTTGAATGAGTTTTTCATCTTCTGGTACACTGGGGTTAATTGCAATGACAATGCCATCATATCCATTGTTACTCAAATTTACCAGTGAGTTTTTCACTCCAGGCAAGAGATGCAAAGCTAGTAACATAATAGCTTTCAGATTGAGCACCATTTTTGCACATGTTACAATAAATGTTTTGGAAGTGTAAGGAGAGTATTTATGTATCTGCAGCTAAGGAATTTGAATCTAGACCAAAATATTTGCATAAGTATAATACATTAATAAAATATCTTCACTAACTTCCTTATCTTAGTCATTCTAAAGATTAAGTTGTTAAGTAGCAATGGTGGTTATGCTGAATACATTTATCATATTTCCAAGACAACTAAGGTGTTAAGTACTCATTGATCCGGGCAATTCTTCTAGCTTGTTTGTGCATCATCGTCATTGTGGTGGCCAGTCACTGTCATCAAAACCATCATCAAAGAGATCTTCCAGTCTTATTTCTGTTTACAGAAATGTCCTCTATGAAAGTCATGAGGAAATGAATTTGAAAAGCACCAGGAAAGAGCAGATGAAAAAGTTCTGTTGTAAAAGTAAAACAAAACAACCCAAATAAAGGAACTGGAGTGGGAGTGGAGGTGAATTAGGGTTCATATTCTTCCTTTAGATGGTAGTGATATAACCACAGTGGTCAGGGACTACTGTGGATCAACTAAAATAAGTTTTTTGGTTAACTTTTGGGATGATTGCTTTTGTATTTTAGTTTTCAAACAGAATTGAAAGCTTTACATCCTTGTGTAATTTGAAAACAATATGCTTCAATTAAGATTTCTTTTTTTGACTGTACAAAAATCTGCAATGTTTGTTAGCTTGAAACAGTAGTATGCATAGCATTATGAGCTGGCTTTGGAGTTAGATGAATCTATATCTGACCTTTGTCTTGGTTACTTAATAGTCATAGGATTCTTAGCAAAAGCTATGTGACACTTTTCGGGTTCAGTTTCTTTTCTGTGATATTGGGATAATTATGGATGTTTAAATGAGGTATGTATAGAAAGTACTTCACAATAAGCACCCACTAATTATTACCCATTATTGTTAAACATTATATATTATATTATGCTATAAATTTTTGCCAATTATATTACTATGTTTTCACTGGTTTCTGTGGTAAAACTCTAAATATAGTCTTCCTGTGTTCAACTGGGGAGTGAGGAGTCTCTGAGTCTGCCCAAAAAGGACTAGAGGAGGACTGTCTATTGGAAGTAAAACTATGAAGTCTTTGGAATGCTCTCTGACTACTTCCATCTACTGACAGTATCATTTTTTTACCAGCCAGGTTTAGGTGTGGTTTCATGCATAAAATCTGCTGAAATCATCCCCATTAGAAGTAATCTTTCTTTCTTTCAAGCTTATTTGAACTTATCCCATACTACCTTATTGCATTTGTTGTTATTAATATACATAGTAGACTTCCCCTACTATTTTATGAACTCCTTGGAGAAAAGAGATTTCCTTGTCCTGAGTTTAACCATTCTCAATTTGAATTTCCTTAACTGTAAAATGTGGACAGTATTATGTATCTGGAAGGAGCTTTGAAGGTTAAATGAAATGATATGTGTGAAAGCATTTATTGTAAGTGCTTGGTACATAGTAGGTCCCCAATTAATGTTTATTCCTTGCTTTTTCTTTCTCTTTTAATTCATATGAAAAAATATGAGTGATTCTATGTGTCATACACAGTGTTCTGCTTTTTAAAGGGTACAGAAATGACTAACACACAAGCACTACCTCCAAATAACTTGCAGACTCATTGCATGAATTAGATTAGAATAAAAAAGATTAAAATTCAAGTAGAGTAGGAAAAATTCTGTAAGATAGTTACAAACACAGTGCTGGAGAGCCCAAAGTTGGGGGAATAGATTATATATGATTGAGGGAATCAAAAAAGGTTGTAAGGGCAGATCATCTCTTCGGGGTGAGGTATGGAGAAATTAGCTAATTTACCCTAGATCACACTTTCAGGAAGGGGCAAATTTGCATAATATAATAAATTATTCTTCAAATTTGCCCCTTCCTGAAAGTGTGATCTGTGCTTTTAAAGAATATGCAACATAAACACTTTTTAAAGGGGTGAATCAGTGAATATCAATCTTGAAAATTGTTGTGAGAGTAGTTTCTTTTTGTTTCTGTTATAGACTAGTAGTTGATCTAAGACAGTGAAGATCCAAGAGAATATGGATTGCTATAAATCAGTAGAATTGAAGTGTCTGTTCATATCCTCTGCCTATTTTTTAATAGGGTCATTTGCTTTCTGTGTGTTGAGGTGTGTGAGCTCTTTATATATTTTGGATGTTAACCCCTTGTCGGATATGTCATTTACAAATTCATTTACCCGTACTGTATGATGCCTTTTTGTTCTACTGATGGTGTCCTTTTTCTTTGCTATACAGAAGCTTTTTAGTTTGATGTAGTCCCATTTGTTCATTTCTGCTTTTGTTTCATTGCCTGAGGAGATGTGTTCAGGAAAAAGTTGCTCATATTTATATTCAAGAGATTTTTGCCTGTGTTTTCTTCTATGAGTTTATAGTTTCATGACTTGCATTCAGGTCTTTGATCCATTTTGATATACTTTTGTGTATAGGGTTAAACAGTAATCCAGTTTCATTCTCTTACATGTAGCTGTCCAGTTTTGCCAACACCAGATGTTGAAGAGGCTGTCATTTCCTCATTGTATATCCATGTCTCCTTTATCGTATATTAATTGATCACATATGTTTGGGTTTATATCTGGGCTCTATATTCTGTTCCATTGATCTATGGGTCTGTTCTTGTGCCAGTACCAAATTGTCTTGATTACTGTGGCTTTGTAGTAGAACTTGAAGTTGGTGAGCATAATCCCCCCAGCTTTATTCTTCCTTCTCAGAATGGCTTTGGCTATTTGGGGTGTTTTTGTGGTACCATATGAATTTTAGAACTATTTGTTCTAGTTTGTTGAAGAATGCTGTTGGAATTTTCATAGGGATTACACTGAATTTGTAGATTGCTTTAGGTGGGATATTAATTCTTCCTAGCCATGACCATGGTTTGTGTTTCCATTTATTGGGTCTTCTTTAATTTCTTTTATGAGTGTCTTGTAGTTTTCAGGGTATAGGTCTTTCACCTCCTTGGTTAGGTTTATTCCTAGGTATTTTATTCTTTTTGATGCATTTGTGAATTGAATTGTTTTCCTGATTTCTCTTTCTGTTAGTTCATTGTTAGTACATAGGAATGCCACAGATTTCTGTCTATTAATTTTGTATTCTGCAACTTTGCTGAGTTCAGCTATTAGTTGTAGTAGTTTTGGGGTAAATTCTTTAGGGTTTTTTTAATGTACAATATCATGTCATCTACAAACAGTGACAGTTTATCCTCTTCATTACCAATCTGGGTGCCTTCTATTTCTTTGTGTTGTCTGATTGCTGTGGCTAGGACCTACAGTACTCTGTTGAATAAAAGCAGGGAGAATGGGCATCCTTGTCTTGTTCCTGATCTTAAAGGAAAAGCTTTAAGCTTCTCGCTGTTAGGTATGGTGTTGGCTGTAGGTTTTTCATATATGGCCTTTATTATGTTGAGGTACTTGCCCTCCATATCCATTTTGTTGAGAGTTTTTATCATGGATGGATGTTGAATTTTGTCAAATGCTTTTTCAGCATCTATGGAGATGATCATGTGGTTTTTGTCCTTTTTGTTATGTGGTGGATGATGTTGATGTATTTTCGAATGTTGTACCATCCTTGCATCCCTAGGATGAATCCCACTTGATCATGTTGGATGACCTTTTTAATGTATTTTTGAATTCGGTTTGCTAATATTTTGTTGATTATTTTTGCATCTATGTTCATCAGAGATATTGGTCTGTAATTTTCTTTTTTGTGGTGTCTTTGCCTAGTTTTGGCATTAGAGTGATGCTGGCCTCATAGAATGAGTTTGGAAGTATTCCCTCTTCTTCTACTCTTTGGAAAACTTTAAGAAGGATGGGTATTAGGTCTTCACTAAATGTTTGATAAAATTCAGCGATGAAGCCATCTGGTCCAGGAGTTTTGTTCTTAGGTAGGTTTTTGATTACCAGTTCAATTTTGTTGTTGGTAATTGGTCTGTTCAAATTTTCTGTGTCAGCGTTGGATGGTTGTATTTTTCTAGAAAGTTGTCCATTTATTCTAAGTTATCCAGTTTGTTAGCATATAATTTTTCATAGTATTCTCTAATATCTTTGTATTTCTGTGGTGTCCATAGTGATTTTTCCTTTCTCATTTCTGATTCTGTTTATGTGAATAGACTCTCTTTTTTTCTTGATAAGTCTGGCTAGGGGTTTATCTATTTTATGTATGTTCTCTAAGGACCAGCTTCTGCTTTCATTGATTCTTTCTATTGTTTTATTCTTCTCGATTTTATTTATTTACAGTCTAATCTTTATTATGTCCCTCCTTCTACTGACTTTGGGCCTCATTTGTTATTCTTTTTCTAGTTGTGTTAATTGTGAGTTTAGACTGCTCATATGGGATTGTTCTTCTTTCCTGAGGTAGGCCTGTATTGCAGTATACTTTCCTCTTAGCACGGCCTTCACTATGTCCCACAGATTTTGCAGTGTTGAATTATTGTTGTCATTTGTCTCCATATATTGCTTGATCTCTGTTTTAATTTGGTCACTGATCCATTGGTTATTTAGGAGCATGCTGTGAAGCCCCCATGTGTTTGTGGTATTTTTCATTTACTTTGCATAATTTATTTCTACTTTCATACCCTTGTGGTCTGAGAAGCTGGTTGGTACAATTTCAATCTTTTTGAATTTACCAAGGCTCTTTTTGTGGCCTAGTATATGATCTATTCTTAAAAATGTTCCATGTGCACTTGAGAAGAATGTGTATTCTGCTGCTTTTGGGTGTAGAGTTCTGTAGATGTCTGTGAGGTCCATCTGTTCTAATGTGTTGTTCAGTGCATCTGTCTCCTTACTTATTTTCTGGTTGGTTGATCTGTCCTTCAGAGTGCATGGAGTGTTGAAGTCTCCTAAAATTAATGCATTGCATTCTATTTCCCCTTTTAATTCTGTTAGTATTTGTTTCACATATGTAGGTGTTCCTGTGTTGGGCACATTAATAGTTAATAATGGCTATATCTTCTTGTTGGTT